CTTTCCACAGAACAACTGTGTCAACTCTTGAAACTGTGCCTGCAGTCAACCTACTTCACATATGGGGAGCAATATTATAGGCAGAAACATGGGTGTGCTATGGGGTCTCCAGTTTCTCCTATTGTTGCCAACCTGTACATGGAGGAGGTAGAAAAGAGAGCCTTGACGTCCTTTTCAGGGACACCACCAAGTCATTGGTTCAGGTATGTTGACGACACCTGGGTTAAAATTAAATCTCAGGAAGTCCAACATTTTACTGACCACATCAACTCTGTGGATAAATACATCAAGTTCACACGAGAAGATGTAAAAAATGGCAGGTTGTCTTTCTTGGACTGTGAGGTCTCAGTCTCTGATAGAGGACATTTGCAAACCGAGGTGTACCGCAAACCCACCCACACAGACCAGTATTTGCAGTTTGACTCCCATCACCCTTTGGAGCACAAGTTAGGAGTCATCAGGACTCTGCACCATAGAGCAGACAGCATCCCCACTAGCTCAGGAGCCAGGCAGAAGGAGAAATCCCACACAAGACAGGCTCTAGAGCAATGTGGATATCCTAACTGGGCCTTCCTGAAAGAAGAAACCCAAACAGGACTCCAGTCAGCCATCAGGTGAAAAGGAGGAACCCAGACCCAGACCAGTGGTCATTTCATATGTTGAGGGAGTATCAGAGAAACTGAGATGTTTATTTTCTAAACGCACTTTTAAACCCTAAAATACATTAAAGACTGGTTCATCCCAAAGATCCAGTCCCCCGGCACAATTATTGATTATTGAGCATGCATCAGGATATTAAAGCAGCATTGTCTTAATTGTTTTCAGTTGATGTTTACATGACTTTTGTAAATGTCTTGTTCATTCCGTCCTCTACGCAGCTTCAAACTGCCAGACAAAGTTCTTCACCAGGAACCGGACCAGCAGAACCAACCTTTAAGCAGTATCTGATCCACAGCCCGACACCCAAGACCATCATGTAGAGACCCACGGTGATCATTAGAACTGCTGGAAGAGGGATGGCGAGCCCCCAGACCGGCAGAACCTGAGGACCAGAACCACAAAGATTTCTGACACAGAGCTGCAGCAGGACTTGGATCCAAAGACTGGTTTCTCTTATTCTGCTTAGATTATTAGATTATTATTGTGCTGCACTTTTCTTAGACCTGTCTAAAGCTTTTGACACTGTGGATCATAACATCTTGTGTCATTAGCTCTCAGAAACTGGTTTCTCAGATCACACCATTGGTTGGTTCTCTAACTATCTCTCAGACCGGAGGCAATGTGTTCAACATAATGGTACTTCCTCCAGTTATTTAACATTCAACAATGGTGTACCACAAGGCTCAGTCTTAGGACCCACCCTCTTTACAATCTACATTCATAATGTAGGCAAAAACATCCCTAATGCATCCATACATTTCTATGCTGACGACACAGTTGTTTATTGTTGAGCTAAAACAGTTGCTAATAGGCTTTCCAGCTTTTGAAATCTGCATTTAACTACATCCAGACTGATTTGTTCCGCCTCAAACTTGTCCTAAATGCCGAAAAAACCAAAGGGATGCTTTTTTTTCCAAATAGGAAGTTGGTCCCAGCAGTTCTTCCTCCGATTTTATCCTCAAATGGTGTCCCCATTGAGTTTGTTGATTCCTATAAATATTTGGGTATCTTGGTCGACTCACATCTTTCTTTTAAGCTCCATGTGGAAAACTTGGTAAAGAAACTGAAAGTTAAACTGGGTTTCTTTTTCAGAAACAAATCCTGTCTAACCCTGAATGCTAGAAAACGCCTTGTATCTGTGACTTTCCTTCCCTCAATTGATTTTGGTGATATTATTTACATGAACGCTCCTACAAGAAGCCTGCAGATGTTGGATGCTGCAGATGTTGGATGCTATCATGGTGCACTAAGATTCATAACTGGCTGTGATTATCGTACCCACCACTGCACTCTGTATTCACTGGTTAACTGGACATCATTAACTTCACGCAGACTCTCCCACTGGTACATTTTCATCTTTAAATCACTTCCTGGTCTGCTGCCTTCATACATCTCCTCCTACATGTCTCTGTGTTAGTGCAGCTACAGCGTGCGCTCTCAGGACATCATTACCTGCAGTGTTCCCTCAGTGAGGACTGAACTAGACAAAAGGACCTTCTCCTACTCCGCTCCTGTTTCCTGGAATATCTTGTAAAAAGATTTGAAGCTCTCGACCTTTGACCTCTCTAAGTGTCTTTAAGAATCTGTTGGACTCCTGGCAGGGTCCAATGCAGACATGTTCCTGTTTTTAGTTTTCAACATTTGTCTTGGAATCTAGCTGTTTTTTGTTTTGTTACCTTTTCCTTTTAGCCATCCTATTTGTTAAAAAAAAAAAACTGTAGTACGAGTTTTTATAACTGTTTATTGTTGTTGCTGTTGTCCATTGTTGTCATCTTTCTTTGTTGAAACCAGGTCTCTCTTGTAAATGAGTCCTCGAGGCTCAATGGGATTTACCTGTAGAAATAAAGGTTGATTGATTCTCACCTGCATGTCGAGTCTCTGCACAGGTGAAGTCTCCACCACGAGGCTGAAGCCAGACTGAATAAAAACGTTCTTTATGCATCAGGATGTTCTCCATCTTGTGTCTCAGAGGCGGATTTGTGTATTTTACCTACTTTGATTCCTTTTGAAGTCTTTATCTTCACTGTACGTGGCCTTGTTGAGGACTTCAGTCCACATCAAGGGAGGAAGACCAACACTTCATCACCGGCTTCAGCTCACAGAAACTTTACGATGTTTTACTCTCCAGATGCACGAGTTATTACTTCTCCGCCTTCCGCTCGTTACACCTGACGTATTTTACTTTACGGCCAGTAAAGACGGTTTATCCAGCTCGCTGGGATAACTTGGAACATGTTACAGGTTACACTTTTTCTTCGAGTATGTCGCCAATTACGAACCGGAGGCTGCTTTAGATGACCGACTGAACTCCCATCATGGCAGCATCTTTCCTTCCTGCACTCTTTATCAACTTCCGTTAGGAGCCGTTTTACGACACACAGCACACACTTTACGGCTCAGCGAGCTTCACTGTGCGCGAAGAAAACCTCGGAAATAAACTCGCTTTGACCGTGGAGCGTTAGATGTGTCAAAGAACTTTCGAGAAACTAAAATCAGCCGAGGATCATGGCGGAGGGACTACAGCGTTACCATGGGAACAGACGGAAGCCTGGAAGGCATTGAAGAAAGCGAAGATGAAAAACTTTCCACTACTTTGGAAAAAATACTTTAAAAGTCAAATATTTTATATTCGACTTATTTAACAGACCAAGTCAAGACCACTCAAAGTAACTAGATTTTAAAACTTTACATTAAAACGTGAATCAGCACAGAACTCAGAGTAACTTTTAACAGGAAGTCGTGCCACACCTGGAATCAAGTGTTCATCCCGCCATGTGGAGCTCATTTCTCATGAAGCAGAGAACTAAAGTTTTCACATCCTGCTGGATACAAACCTTAAACCCTGAAAACAAGTTTGGAGGAGGAAGCTGCAGGATGCAGCTCCTGAAACGGAGTAAAAGCAGCCACAGGACAAGTTTCAGCAACTGCACAACTTTTATTGAACCAAATGAAGAAACTGTTTCCATGGCTTGATTTCTTACGGTTTCCACTTTAGAAATTATTGCATTTCAGGACATTTACAGGCAGAGTCTGCAAGCACACGCAGCATCGGTTACAAATGGGGGCAGTGCCGTTGCGCCCCCCCAGTTAACTGCTGTGTGATCTCAACATGCTCATGTTTTAGTAGCCAAAGCTCCTTTCTGTACCTAATCGGACTTTTCCTCCCTCTGCTGACCAAGGAATTAAAAACAAACATCCACCCAACAGCTGAAGTGTGACCCCCCCCCCATGACAACACTGCACTCCAACATATGGAGACTCATGGTTTTATTGAAACACCTGAAGTACAAAACAAAAAGGTTACATGGAAAGATGCCTCCTTACTGCGGCACAAGGCCTAAAAGCAAAATAAAACTAACTCAAGAGGGACGTGGAAGGAGGAAGTGTGTGTGTGGGGGGGTCGTCACCACTCGTCCCTGATGTCGTGTGGAGCTGCAGTCTTTGCCAGAGAGAGCCTGCCCCCGGTGTTGCGGGGGTGTCAGAGAGTCCCATGTTATTTAGAGGTAATTCACGTCTTGGCTAACAGGAGCTGGTGGGTTGCAGCGGGGGAGGGGGGGCAGGAACACAAACAGCAGCACATGGTGGGGGGGGGGGGGGGGGTTGATGGCCTTTCAGGAGAGGCGGGGAGGACTGCTGGAAGCTTCTAAAAGCCGTGGACTTTGAGCTGCTCCTCCTTGGCCAGGTCAATCTGCAGGTAGGGAAACAATTGAGATCAGTGATGCTCAACTGTTGAAAGCAGACCCCCC